ATATGATACGTCTTTTGAGATAACGTCAATTTACAGCAAAAATAGTATCCGAGGTGAACTTAAAACGTCACACTGAACATTGCTAAGATTGTTCCCCATCCGGAATGAGGACACAGGTGTAAAGTAGCTTGCCCAACGTGATCAAGCAGCATTTGCTAATCGTGTATATAGTGAATCAAGGCATTATACAACACATTTATCAGGAAATCATGGCATGGTCAACACCTCAAACTAGTTCGACGTCAAAAAAAGTATTTGGAATAAGTGGTCGTTGTCTATTTTCCGACGAAGCAAATGAATATATAACGATGCGATCCGCCAGATTTCATTCAAACAGTGAAGTGCATGCGAAACGTGCTATACGCGGTAACTAAAACACAATGCGCAGAAGAGCCTCCAAGTGACAAGCTTTCATTGACCATGTGGAAAGCTGCACTAAGAAAGGAACATTGGTTTTCAGATGAAAATGTAAGTTTCTTTTAAGATTTAGTGACAAAATCATTTATGTGTCTTATGATGATGCAGGCCGCGAATAGCCGATGGTTAGCGTTTAGARATGATGATGATAGCTATTTTAGCTGTATGTGACATGTGCTCGACACCATACATTTTAAGATAAATATAAAGATCGATGAGTATGAATAATACGACGCCTAAACCCTATTATATTTCTATACTATTTAATTTCATAATTTTAGATAACCACAATCACTTTTATATATTAACGACATTTTTATATGTTATCATCAAAGCAACTCAAGTTTTATATAAAGACCGCAAGGCTTTCAAAAAGATGTTTTGGAAAAGTTCTGGAACTAGACGAGGGAATGAAAAATGGCACAGTCAGTATTGGCGCTGCAAAACGATGCAGCCAGACCGTACTGAGGGACATATTGTACAATCTAAGCGAGGTAGAGCAATATGAAATCCTTTGTGGAATGGTAAAGGGAGAAGTTAAATTGGCTAGTCTTAGAAAAAACAAGGTAATTATAGAGATAACTAGAATTCAAATTTGATTTTGTATCGTATAAAATATAATAAGCAATAAAAATGTAATGACGTATCTATATTACAAAAGGCAACGGACAAAGAAACGAAGAGCAGCTCTGAAGATGAAAAAACGGTATGTTTTCAAATTATCAGGAATTTGATCTCTATAATCATTTTACATAACATTGATCAAAAAAATAATATAATTTTGCTCCATTTCAGTTGCTTAAAGAAATAATTGATCTTAACAACTGGAAGACAGATCTTCAACTTCGATTAGAAGATGTACGCAAAGCGGTATTTGAAGCAAAGTGCATGACATATCATTGCCTATAAATATCTTTCTTTTTCCCAGATGACTAGACATAATGAGGATTTGAGATTAAAAAACAAAGATCTCAAAGAGAAGTTTAGTTTCTTAGAGAAGGAACTGGAAACGGTGAGCTCAAAAACGTCACYATAAGAATTATTAGTGATTTAGGAATTTATTAGGAATACATTAAAAGATAAAAAAGATGACCACTGAAGCTGACAACACTTCCTTTTGTATTCTAATTACTTTCTGAATAGCTAAAGTTCTATTTCTCGGACAAGGTCTTTGTACGAAGTAAATATAGATATAMATATCGTATATGCTTCATATTAGTATGAAACTCAAGAGTGAACTGCTTCTGTTTTAGACCAAATCATTACTACAGAATGTCCAAGAAGAGCGAGATTACTGGCAAAAGCAGTTTGTGGAAGCAACTGTTTTAACCCAGTCAAAAGTAATTCGCACTGGGAAGAGTGAGTATTTTGGAAAGTAATTGA